TAGCTCAGGTGGAATTCCATCACTTCCATTGGTTTATTCATGGTAATGCTTCCTAAAGTCCACTTCACACTCCAGGATGTCTGACTCTAGGTGATTAACTACACCACTATGGTTATCAGGATCATTAAGACCGTTCTTGTAGAGATCCTCTGCATGTTCTTGCCAACTCTTTTTAACCTCTTCTGCTCTTGTTGGGTCCTCACCATTTATGTCCTTTATCATGCCCATCCTTGCATGAAATGTTCTCTTGATACCTCCAATTGTCTTCAAGAGATCTATAGTCTTTCCGATTCTATTGTTTTCCTCCACTTCTTTGCATTGTTCATTTCAGAAGGCCTTGTTATCTCTCCTTGCTATTCTCTGGATCTCTGTATTTAGTTGGGTGTGTCTTTCCCTTTTCCCTTTATCTTTGCTTCTCTTCTTTCTTCAGCTATTTTTAAAGCTTCTTCAGACAACCACTTTGCTTTCTTGCATTTCTTTTTCTTTGGAATGATTTTGGTCACTGCATCCTTCAATGCTATGAATGTCCATCCATAATTCTTCAGGTTCTTTGTCTACCAAATCTAATCCCTTGAATATACTTGCCACTCCACTGTGTGTAGTTTTGCACAATATTGTAAAAGTACCACATGCTACTAAGCTGGAAACTTTAAATTGAATAATTTTATGCTATATGACTTTGCCTCAACTAAAAATTATCATTCAAAAAATTACAAGACATAACCCTTGGGCTTCAAGCTACTTTTAATTGAGGAAACAGGTGTCTCAACAACTGTGATACATGATACAATTAATTCATTCTGCACCCAGGATATATACATATATATATACATATATATACATATACATATATACATATGTATATACATATATATAAATATATATATACATATACTTTACATTTATGTTACAATACAAACTTAAACCAATTTAAACAGATACTATCAATTGCAATGTATTAGATAAACCCATCTTAGATCATTGTTCTTCCTTGTAAGAGACATGAGCAACATTCTGCCAGGTGTAGAAATACACTGAATTTCAAAAGATTACGGGAAGGCAAGTCCATGGGAGACTGGTAGAGGAGCTATGGTGGGAGAAAGGAGCCTTGAGGTAGCCCTTTGAGCTACACTAGAGGGCTTCCCAGGCGACGCAGTGGTAAAGAATCCACCTGCTGATTCAGGAGATGCGAGAGACGCAGATTCAATCCCTGGGTCAGAAAGGTGCCCTGGAGGAGGAAGTGAGAACCCACTCCAGGATTCTTGTCTGGAAAATTCCATGGACAGAGGAGCCTGGCAGACTACAGTCCAAGGGGTTGAAAAGAGTCAGACATGACTGAGCACACATACACACACACACACACACACACACACACACACACACACACAAATTTACTTTGACATAGAAAGCTGAAAGTATCTACCAGTAAAATCTACCTTAACCAAGAGGAATAGTCCTCTGTTATTTGTCAAATTGTTTTAATAAATTATCAAGCCTTATACTAAACACAGGATTAAGTTAGAAAATTTGGCCCACAGAACTATGAACAGTTGTAATGATGCAATTGTTATTCATATGTTCTTTATCTAATTATATATTTGCAGGCTATCTGAGAATAAATCAGTCTTTATCAAAAAAGTTTATAAAATGGAATTTATTTTTACTAATTTGGAGATTCCTTTTTTT